AATATTTCTTCAATTACGTCTAGTATAATTTAATAACATAACAAGTTACCTCAGTGTAACTTATTAATATAGTAGACTTACACCAAGCGTAATTTATAATATAGTAGACGGGATAGCACTTTGTTAATAATAAATTGCCCCCCTAGTGGGGAAGCGGTAAGTCTGCGGATTTACACCACTAAAAACCGGGTTTCGATACCCGTGGTGGGCAGAGCACAAATAGCTCCTCGTGTAGCTTTGTGCTTAACTAAAAACAAACAATAATAATAATAATTTAAATTTTCTCGGTTTTTAACTTTCACATGCATGTTAATTAAACATTTATACAGGTTTCTAGTGGGACTTTCTATAATGACCATCATGTACTAATTAAGTTTCTTAAGTGAATTTTACTTTTTATTATTAAAACTGTTTCAATCAATCCATAGAAAAACTAAGTAGTAATAAGATCGACAGGCTTTGTAAATTTACAGATTTTTCATTTTAATTTATTTTAGCATGAAGATACACAATAGGTTATCTGTATTGTAACTACCATAGGAAATGGAACCCTATAGTTTAACGTTGTAAGTACGTAAACTTATCCCTAACCCACTGGGGCACCTTCTGTTTTATTAATTGTTAACTCTGATATTTCTGAAAATCATGTATAACCTGCATTTTATTTTTATTAAATGTAATTCAATAATATATTTTTCAGCTAGTACCGACAAAAAAAATTGAACGGACATCACACAAAAAGAAAGACATCATGAAACTGAGCAAATATTTGTCTCCGCTATTTAAATGCGGTTATCATTAAAGAAAGAAAAACAACACAATAGGTTTGAATAAACCCATTTGAAATTTAAAAATAAATAAATTTATAAGATGTTTATGCTGCCTTCTAATGGTCAATTACATTTTCATAATCCGAGTATATATACGAAATGGATATTTCTACAGCATCTTTACGAATAAAAGGCGAACAAAATATTTACTAACACTGAAGTGAATTAAAAACATGGTCGAAGTTTGCTTACTTACAATGTTTTTGTTTTTCGTAATTGAAGGTAAGAAAATATATACTGTAGAAGACTTTGCATATTGAAAAATCTTAATAATTTGGGTAATTCGAGAGCAGGCTATTAATGTAAAAAATACATAGTTCTCATCTTTTTCTCGGTAGCACAGCAATAAATCTATAGATTTACAAAACTAAAATCAAGGGTTCGATTCCCCTCGGTGAACATAACAGATAACCTTATGTGGCTTTGTTATGAAAAACACACACATACCTTTTCATCGAAGCTTCTTATTGACATATTTATGAGAGTGTTAATGGTCTTCACTTATATTTTGCTCCTTATCTCTTATTTACTTTTATTGCTATATTTAATGTACTTCAGTATATTTATTTTAACCTCTTATGTTCGCGTATAAAAATATGCTGAAAGTTGATTACATTACTGTAAAGATTGCTAATTTTTTCACATTTGTTGCCTTTACATAAGAAATCGACGTAGGTGGAAAGACTGGAATTTATCAAGCATTTTTATAATTTCTGAAGTCCTGTAAATCTTCTTAGTCAATATTTTTTCTTTAAAAAATGAATACACTGAGAATAATTAAATGAGAACATGGGAGGAGGACTAATAGAATGGTGCCTAGGATGGAGGGGTTGTCATATGAGGAGAGGTTGAGATCCCTCAAACTGTTCTCTCTTGAAAAAAAGAAAAGTTAGAGGGGATCTGATTGAGGTGTTAAAGAATGTAAAGGGAATTGATAGTGTTGATGTATCATCTTTTTTCATACTTAACGGCAAGAAAAGTAGGATTCGGGGACACAAATATAAACTCTATCAAAGTAGGAGTAATCTTCAGCTAAGACAGTTTTATTTCTCTAACAGGGTGGTTGGCCTTTGGAATGGGTTGCTTTCTGGTGTTGTGAAAGCAGTAAATGTAGGTGAGTTTAAGAGAAAGCTTGATAACTACATGAATGATATGAGCTGGCTTTAAGATTTTCTTTGATTTATTTGTTTAATAGTTTTAGTTTAGTTTAGAGAATGGGAGAGCCAAGATAGACCAATAGATCCATTGTCGTTCTAAAACATTATGCTATATTATATTCTTGTCCAGCAAGAAATTAAAAGAATTCAAACCAGTGCGACATGCTTCATATCATTACACCGTCTTATAATTCTGAATCAAAAAAGCTTTTTTTCTACATAAGAATAACTCTGTTTTAGGCTTTTAAGACTAAAATATATTCCCTGACTTCAAGGATCGCGTATACAGTCTTTTCATATCGTCTTTCAAACAGGCCAGCCATTTTGAAAAGGACTATTCCGAAGTTATTTAATTTGACTTGGTTATATATTTCTATAATGATTTTCTGTAAAGTTTTTGAAGTCAGTGGTGTATAACTTCTCGAATTAATGAAACTCATTTTCTGAATTTTAAAATGAAGCTATTTATATATATATATATTATTTGATTAAATTTACTTAAAAATAAAGCAAATTTGTTTTATAAGTCAGTAAAAATTACGCATTATTTTACCCATCATTCTATACGAAAGACACGTATGACATCATCTACAGAGCAGACGCTCGAAAATGGAGGAAAATCGTGTTAATGTTATTGAAGCGAAGTTAACGATAGATTTATAAATACAGCTTTGGTTTTAAAGTGAGTGATCTTGAGTGGTTCTCGTTGTGTTTGTAGTGCAGTCAGAGGTTAAAAAAGAAGCGTTATGGACATTGACAGTGATTTAGATGCGAATTTATTGCAGCAGTTTAGTTGCATGGGTACAACTGACCGAGATATTTTGATTTCTCAGCTCCAAAAATTGTTAGGAAATCAGCTCAACCCTGCAGGATGTGCTTTCTTCTTAGATATGAATAATTGGTAAGCTCATATGATACTTTCAATATTTCTATAGTTTAGTACCATTGTAAATACAGTTTAGGATCATACTGGTGACTCTTCATGAATTGTACATTTTGAAAATACGATACCAAAAATTATTTCGTAGGCTAGTCTACTTAGATTTAGAATAAAATCGAAGCTACTGGCTAGAGCGCTAGACCTAAGATTTGTTTACAAGAATGAAAATAAGAGGCTTAACAATAACACTAACGGTAACGCTGTAACTTACAGAGTAAGCATTTAGGCTGATTAAAAAGGCAATATCATATTAAAACATTAATTTTAACAAATGCCAGAAGATGAATTATTTTCCATAAAGCACATAATTAAATAATATAAAGATATTTAGTTTTTCACAAAGTAAAAACTCCGTAGAAAGGGTATCATATTAATAAACAGATGTAAAAAGGACTTTGAGAGACGATTGTGTGTGTGTGTGAATGTGTGTGTACTTACAAAATTACATGGGGGAAGAGGTATAATTAATTAACTTTGTTAAAAATTAAACTGATGGCAGAAACACATTCTTTCACAAAAAATCTTAATATAACTTCAAATGTTTTTTTTTTTGTTCTTTTTAACAAAATTAACAATATTTTTTAAATTTAATTATGTGATGAATATGAAAGAATAAATTGTCTTTTGTTGATTGCATAGAAAGTATACCAGTGTTAAATTCATCTCGGCCATCTCAGTTGACATTGGAAGTGAAGACCAAAGCACAAAAACAGTAGGTTTTTCTCACTGAAAGAATCTTGGCACTTGGCTGGTGATATCAGATGAAAGGAATTATACATAAATATGAAATTGGTTTTATAAGATATATTTTTTTTTACGTATGAAAATTTACAGCTAAATTTATGTTAAATTGCACTTTTAAGAAAATTAACAAGTGAATTTTCTTTAGGTTCCAAAAATCCATGGAGTGTACATAACTTTTTTTATGCCTTGGCCTTCACATGCAATGTTATGTAGTATAAATGTAAGAGACATTGAGTTTGATATTTTATTGGAAAAGATTAAAAGTGTGGAAAGTTTCACTTGTAAGTTATGTAATAGATAGGTTATGCTGATTTTCTTTGTTTGGTAGAGATGTACATAAAGTTCAGACAGTATTTTATAGTACAGTAGATATAGGTGTACTTAAACATATTGAAATGTTTTGAAAAACAAAGGTTTTTTTCTAAGTAGCTTTTTTTTACAGACTGTGATGTGTATTCTTCCTTACAAAGTGAATAATTACAGTTTTAGAAAAATCTTTAACAGCATTCAAATTTTAAAAAATAAATTTTGCTCTGTTCAAAAAGACCATAAAAATAATAAAATTTAAGGATAAGGGTCCTGTTGCTCCATCTATGCTATTTTATCCAATAAACTAAACTAAACTTTAAAAAAAAAAATAATAATAACACCCTCAATACCAGATTATATCATTTTAATACGTATCCAGTCTTCCCTTAAACTTCCTTAAATTTATTTCATATACTATACCTGAAGGAAGTTCATTCCAAAGACCAACCACTATTATAGGAACACTGCTAAATAGAAGCAAAAATGTTTTAGGGTGAAAGAAAATCTGCCTAGTGTGCTATATAGCACATTTAAATATTTCTGCTCCCCCCAATGTAGGAATAATTTTTGTCTCACATTTTGACACCTTTTCACTATTTCATTTACAAAGTGTATCATATACAACAACCATGGTTCAGTTTAACTTTTGTGTATATGTATAGCTGACAATTATTTTAATCCCAAGGTTTTTCATCTTGTGATGTTTTCAAACAAGGTTGTACTTATTCCCAATAAAAGAAATTGATGCAGCTTATAAAGTTTATGGTTTAGTGAATGGTTATTTCAAAAGTACTTGTTTATGGAAAACTTTTAATTATCTCATGCATCTGTATTAACTGTTGTTTTTCCTAAATGCTGTTTGTATTACTTCATATTATTATCAAGTTTTCCAAGATATATTTGTTTTATCAATCACATACTTTTTGTAAGGAAATATTTTTTGCTAATTGATTATTTACAGAATTGAAGAAAAAACAGAGACAATTGTCTGTTTCACGAAAACTTCATTTATTCATGACCATGGTTTCACCAGTAAAGGAATCATGAGGTACAGATGTCAGTCTGAACCTACTGGCTCACCAGTGTCGAAGACGAGTGCTTTACCCAATGAGCTACTTGGGTTCTCATATTTAAGTAAAATAAACTAAAACAAAAGTAACAGTTACATTGTCTCTTACTTGATGCATAAGATAATTGTGGTTTTTTGTTGTTAGTAGTCATGTGATAATGATGTGTCCATTAATAAACGTAATGTGTTTCAATTAATTGATACAAAAGTTTCTGTTGGATATCTTTTCACTAGGAAATTTTGTCATCATTGAGTAACTCTCTTACAGGGTTGTTGAAAAGATACAGTTTTACTTATAAACTGTGTTTCAATAACTGGAATGATTGAATTTATCAAACATCCTCACATTTATATTCTGTTTTGGCATAGGCGATTTATTAAGCTTACAATTCCTTCACATGGGAAATATGGTCAGTTTAGTTAACAATAACAGATAGTATTTTTACTAAGGCTTTAATTAGTTAACTGCAATATTATTTTAACACAATGGAAGAATTAAATTCAGTTATTTTGCCCATTCGTATTACATTACATATGATTTAAGAACAGTATGGAATCTGATAGTCCAGCTAGACTGTCCTATACACTGGCCTAAACATTAAAATGAAAATAAAACACATATAGCCAGCCCTTATCATTCAAATATTTATGAATCATTCCCTTAAACTCCCTTAAATTAACTGCATTTACCAAATCTGAAGGCAACTCATTTCAAAGGCCAACTACCCTGTTAAAAAAATAAAGCTGTTTTAGCTGAAGATGACTCCTACATTGCCAAAATATGTCTTCTAGTTTTACCATTTTCACTATGTGCAAAAAAACGTTTATTCATCAACACTATCAATTCCCTGAACAATCTTAAACACCTAAGTCAGATCTCTTCTGACTCTTTTAAGAGAAAATTTCAGATATCTTAACTTGTCCTTATATAACAATCTTTTCATCACAAGTATTGTTCTAATAGACTTCCTATGAACCTTTTCCTTCCTAAGGTAAGAGCCACAGACTGAACACAATACTCCATATGAGGCCTAACCAGTGACCTATACAATGAAATTACCTCATTACACATATATTCATTATTTTGTAAATGCAACTTAAAATTCTATTTGACTTACCACTTTCATGGGTTTCATGGATCATCTGATTGGTTCAAGAGACTAATCAACTAAAATACCAGGACTTTTCTTCCTTATCACTGTTGAGGTTATTCCTAACAAAAGTATATTCATAATTTGAATTATGATAACCTACATGCATTAACTTTCATTTATTATAATTAAAAGTCATCTGCAATTTATTTGTCCAGCTCACCAAATAACCTAAATGCATTTGTAAAGTAAAAGCATCCTCGTCACATCTAGCAACACCCAAGATCTTAGTATCATCAACAAATAAGAACAATTTATTGACAATTTCTCCATCTGTGTCATTAATGTAAATCAAAAAGAGTAAAAGACCTTCACTGAGTCTTGAAGTGCTCCTCTTATGACATGAATCCAGTTTGAATGAATTCCATTTGTAACAAGTTTCTTCTTCAAAAACATTTACTCATCTCTCTGCACAGAGAATAACTGTTACCTCGTACCTCTGCTATGACAATGTTTTCACCTGCCACAAGCCTTAAATAAAGCTCCCACTCCTACATTTATTAATGTGTGGTGATCCAGCCTATGATGTAATTATCATTAGACTATTGACCTTCAGCAATAGGAAGGCAACACACCCTCCCTTCATGATTTGAACAAAGATTCATTCTTTCATTGGCACTGCTTTGTTCAGATGCATATTTTCATAGACATTAATAGCTTTTTTACATATATTATTTTTTAAAATTTCAGTTATAACTTTTGTTTGAATTATCTTCAATTTAATTTTCTTTTGTAATCACATTTGTAATTTTGGGACAAATGTGCCATTGTTTGTGATCAGGTTACTTTTAAGATTTATGTTGTTTAACCCAGCATACTTGTTTCATTAAATATTCTTCTATGTTATCATTAGTCCAACAACCTAGGCCTTTTTATCATCAGTATATCAGGCTAACTTTTACTTTTCAAACAAAAATAGAAAAAAATGGTTTCATGGATCGCCAGGATTATACATTAATGTTTCCACATTTCTGACATCTCTTGAGGTTCTGAAACTCCTGATCAGGAGTCATCCAATACTTTAATGGTGACTGGAAGCACTCTGATGGTCAGTGGTATTACTGCCATTCTGCACTAGGTGGTTGTTTCTATTCTGACCTCAGATCCAGAATACCCTACCTTCTGTTTCTTTTACTTCAGCGGAGCCTGCCCTGTCTTTCAAAAAGTTTTGCCAATATTGTTTCCATACCTGTTTTAGCTTCTAGTTCCTTCTTCCTGTCAAGGATCAGGTAATCCTACTTTCATCATTTACTGTTTGAATTACACAGTTATGTATCTTTTGTTTTTTGCTGAATCTCATTCTAAGCCTGCAACTGATCTCCATATCAGGTGCCAATATCAATCCAATCTAAAAAATTCCCTAATGTTTTTCTGATCTGTTTTTTAAGATGGTCATTTTGGTAAGTTTGTCTACTTATGAAAATACACAATACATTCAGATGCCTTCATAATGAAAGAGTGCAACAGATTCGGAAATGAGTTCAGTCACAGAGAAGCGAAAAGAAATATTGGTGACTGTTAGATCAGATCATGTCCTGATATATATTGTCTACTTCTTAATTTTTCTTATAAAGATAAATGTATTTTCAACATAGTTTTATTTGCCCTAAAATATCCTAGCATCAGTCAGAAAGTGCCTTTATTTCTGGTGTTCATAACTATTACTAGGTTCAGCCTCTCCCTTGCTG